CTCTAGGAAAGGGTCCCGTTCTTACTGCTGGACTTTATTTATTGTAAAGAATTCAAGAAAAACATGAAAGTGTGGCCAAGAACAACCCAAACTCCCAGCTGGACACACACAAGGTCATCAATTATAGCCGGAAAAGCTCCCTGCTGGAGTATGCAATAAAAGCCAGGAGATGGCTCAGTCCACCAGGCTCCAACTATAAATAAAATATTTTATTTTGGACTGACCACTTGCATGTTAAAGCTCTGTCATTGAACAAATTTTTTGAATATAACACATCTATAAAATGAGAAATAAGCACATTGCCATTATGGTAAACCCACCAGTCCACCTTAAATTGTCTGCACATCATACCTGCCGTGAAATTCCCCCAGTTACAGAATAGAAATGGGTGACTTCTCAATCTATGCTTGAAATTATTGCATGCAGCCCTGCTGTCTACTACACTGAAGCACCATTTTGGAAAGACAAATGACAAAGACCACAGGAGTTAGAAATTCAGTTTGCACAGATATGGCCTGGAGCTAGCAGTATCAAAGTTGACTAAAACAACTAGGCAAGCCATTGACTGTTGGATATTTCAATGAGAATGAAAGGTGGGCAGATATCTTTTCAGAGTCAACTGAGTACTGGGACTTGTTGTAATCTTTAAGCCTAACTCTGGGTTTCTGTTACTTTAAAATAGCCTGTTTGGACCAAACTGGTCCAAATGAACTATTACCTTCACTAACAGCTGTGCCCGCTGTGAGCACTGTATAAACTGTATGTAGCATCAGGCATATACAGTATACAGTGCTGTGTTGTGGCAGTGGATCAGGGAATTCCCGTCCCACATCCAGAACAAAAGTATTGAGTTGGGCTGAGCACTGCTCAGCCATTCACAGGATGCTTTGTACTTTCTGAATGAATACAAAGCTTCATCTGATTACTTGAAGTGGGGAACAGATGACATCATTGTCTCTACCTCAACCAACCAGGAGAAGCCTTGTATTCTTTGATAAAATACAAAGCTTCCTGTGAATGGCTGAGCAACCCTCAGCCCAACTCGATTTTGTTCTGGGAGCTGCTGGAACATAGCTCTGTATACAGTATATAGCTGACACTACATACAGTTTATACAGAGCTCATGGTGGGCACATCTGTTATTCAAGGTAATAGCTCATTTGGGCCAGTTTGGTCCAAACAAACTATTTTAAAGTGACAGAAGACTGCAGTATGGCTTTATGCTGACCATAAATTTGTAGAATTTTATTAGAAAATGTTCATCTTAAAAATGTTTTTTTTTATTTTAGTAGTCATTAGTAGTGTCAAATCAATGCTTGTGACAAGAACTTCAAAGGCGCAGTATAGAACATTATTGTTGAATGAACATGTTTCCTTCAGAAAAGTCCATTCACTCCAAAATCAAATGTTAACATCAAACAATTTTTGATTGTTTGTATGAATGTTTATTCAAAGGTCTACTAGTGTATTGCCAGGTGTACTCATGCACATGCACCTACATTGCCCATTAAGGCCTGGTTCACACCTATGTGTTTATTTAGTGCTTTTTGTGTTTTGCAGAAACTCACTACAGTCCATTTAACATGGTTTCCTATGGGACACGTTCACATCTATATGTTTTATCAGTCACTGCATTTTTGAATAGGGTCAGGAACTTTTTTCCTGCAGCAGATTGCAACACATATAGATGTGAACCAGGCCTTATTTTGTTCCAAAGCAGAGAGGCTCAGACTTACATACAAGCCGGATATCCAACTCTGTGAGATAATTAGCACCTCGAACTGCCTGGAGCACTCATTATAGCTCACAGGACAATCAGAAACAGCCTGATATTCATGAGGATGCTAGAGATAAATAGTATTGGTTGCTTTTTTTGGAACATTTGTGGCCAGCCTTCCTTTCTATAATAGGTATGATAGCTATGATAGTTTAAATCCTCAGAAAAACAACTATTTGATGTTCTAATCAAAACTGACCTATGTGTAAAGTTTTTGCAGTCATTCTACACATCAACATTTTCAGGTCAAATTGGCAAAAGCCGTTTATAATAAAGTTTCCCAAAGTTTCTGCGATTTTAACAAGTGTTGAATTTGTTTTTCAGTTCATTCCTTTAATCAGCTGATTTTTTCACAGCTAAAATAAACTGAACGATGATCAGAAGAATTTCAACACTATTGATCAGTTTTTATAGTTTTTTTTTTTAACTGACAGTTCAGTCAAATATGGAAAAAATGAATGGTTAAATGAAAAATTACTCCCAGATCCAACCACTATTTGTATCAGTGTGTATGTGGCTAGCATAAAACCCCATACACACAATGAGAATATCGGACGAAGGATCGTCGTCTCCATATGGAAAATTAAGGAGTTACAAAAAATCTTGTACAGCAGAATAAAAATTCAAAAGTGATATAATGTATTGTATTGTATTTTCGGATGAAAACTGTACTGATTAAATGAAAATCACGTGATTTTGTATTGTACGAGAAAAATGTTTGTGCTTGTCTCTTCAAATATTTTCAGACAAAAGCTGTTTACTAATAGTCAGATTATGGTATGATCGCTTTAAAAGCAGTATTTTTTTAATGATTTTCTGATCGTATGTACTAGGCTTTAGAGTAATTGTAATCCCATGATAAGGGCCCCTGAGATATTTAGTATCATGAATCATCGGGATGCTCCAGGCATGTAACAAGTTCAAGTTCAAACACAAGCAGCTCTGTGTAGGGCTGTTGTCCCAATTTAAGAAAAGGGGTTGATCAGGGGAAATTTGGCATTTTTTTTATAAAGAAAGATATAATATGTAAAATTAAATTCCAAAGAGGATCTAAATACAAAATAAAAAATAAAAGGCTATGGAATAACAAAACTTTTTTTTGTATGTGAAAGGGAAAAGTTAAAATTTCTATCAGGCTTTTTATATATAAAAATAATAGGATTTACCTTGACTTTCTGTGCTAAAGTCACAACAGTACAGTGAAGGGAACCCTTGTTAGGTGTGTTTTAGAACAGGTGTTCTCTCTCAATGATAACTGCAAATTATGAATTTCTGATTATTTTCTATCCTGCTAAAATGGTGATCAGGACAAATAGAGAAGGCAAATCTCCCCAGGTGGACATCAGTACAATCCTGACAAGGATTACAACTCTCCCTTGCGCTACCAAAAATTAAACAAAGAAAATACGTTTTTTTGCTAAAGATATTGGTTAACCCCTCCCCACTGTGCCTCTTGGCCCTTTAAGAGCTTATAAATCCCCGGAGGCGGAGGCGGGCATTAGGGTCATGTGACCGCTGTGATTAGTTCTCACATGGTTGGAAAGCTTCTGAGTACGCATAGGGAGCTTGCCAGTAGCCCCCAATAACTGTGCTGGGAGTGCAGGGCTCGTGCTTTCAGCACAGAAAAGTGTTTACATAGGGCCACATATATGCGGCCTGTCGGTGTTAAAGCCCACCAGCCAAGAGGCTGCACATATGTGTTCTGGAGGGAAGAGGTGAAACAAAAAATAAATCCACGAATGACAAAGGGACATTAATTAGCATTTTTAAACTGGTCGTTTTTAAAGTAATATCACTGAGGAAACAAGGACAATCAGACCCTTAGACATTCATGCTTTCATCCAATATGCATATCCATCCTTCAGCTCATACTGTAATTTACAATCTCCCAATTACCACCTATAAAGCAACACCATGTTGCACTGTAGCGGAGTGCCTTTAACACACCATGCCCAGATATAGGCTCCTTTAACTCCATTTCCCGCAACTTCTTAGGTTCCTGAACATGCCCAGGGAAGATATCTTCCCCTGCTTAATCAAAAAAGAACTATACAGTGCAGCGCTAATCAATAATAAATAAATAAATACCCAATGAATAGGTGATACAATAAATAAACTCGATATACACCCTGAGAGTATATATCCAAAATCATCAATAGTAATAACTTACTGTCATGCATGTAATCCCTTAAAGGGAATATCTGGTGCAAAAAGTGACAAATATAATCGTAAAACAATAAAGTGGCAAAAACATACAGTGCTCAAAATAAGTGAACCAATATGCAGTTACAAAAAAAGTCCAAATAATCAATAAACGTAATGCAATGCTTTATGGTGATCTTCACACTCCACTCTTCATGCAAAGAATAATGTGCAGTGTACGTGATTTACACGTGCCAATCCTTAACGGCCAAAATGCCCCCTCACCTCCTTACTTAGACCCCACAGGGCCAGCACGCTTTAGGATCAAACGATCCTATCAGAATGGATTCCTCTCTGGATCTCGCCTTCCACCTCCAGCATCCACCAGACTAACAGCCAGCTCCTCCCAGGGTCATAATGGAACACAAACAGAGACCCTCCATAGTGCAACCAGTTTTTATTAAACGATAAATAGATAGAATATAAAGTTCCACTCACATTCGTGATGATTTAATCCAGCTTCCTTACCACATGGTACCTGATGAAGTCACGTGCTGAACGTGACGCAACGTACGGTGGGAGGAGCTAACGTGGTGACGTCATTTCCGGCGTGGGGGCCATATTGGAACACCCTGTTACATTACCCATGCAGTACATAGCATAGACTGAAATCTGTCCGAACAAGAGTCTAGTAAACATCCCGGGTAGGATAAAACTTGCAACACAAAATCATAAATTTTAATTTAATAAATAATCATAAAAAAAAATATAATAATAATAAATTGAATTCAATAATATAATCAAACCAAAAAACACTGAAATTTGAAATATAGCGCCAAGTTCGCACACCACTGAGCAAAGTCTCAAAATTGTTTTCAGTGTCTGATGATGAATTTCCCCACGAATCATTATCACTTAATTCTGCAAGTGGTTCTGATTTGCTATCGCTGTTCTCTAGCTGGTCTAAAACCGATTTTGACCTAAAGGGACTCTTTTTGGACGCCATGGACATTTCTCAGTTTCCAGGCAGAAAGAACAGTAAAAATGCAGGCAGGGCACAGGACAAAGCAGTAGGGACAAAATGTATGTGAAATGGTTTGGTACAGTAATGTTTTACTATGTGATTTTAGTGAATGTCATTTTTTGTCATTTTCAAATTTCCCACCGTTCCGTCCCCGTACGTCCCGATGCTCGCAGGGAACGGAACCCAGATGACAGATGCTGGCATCCGTCGGATTATATTGCCGGGACACTGCAGGAGGGACATCGCGGGAGCACAGGACAAGGTAAGTGATTGAGGGATCGTGGAGCAGCACCGCATGGTAAGCCCGAGTGTAGCTCGGGGTTACCGCTTGTGGTACTGAAACTTTGCCCCGAGCTACACTCGGGAATACCGCCAGGGGGGTTAATAGCAAACAGCTTCTCCAGAAGACCCAGCTACTAAGAGGATCATCTCCCCTATTCCTAGACGAACTCCGGTTCCAGTGGTGTAGCACTTTGACCTTCAGGCTTGGATCCCTTCATCTGTTGACCTGTGTTACCAGAGCTACCCTGGACTTCACTGTGAAGGACATTGTCTATGCGGTTAATTGTACATAGCTGTGTTCTGTACTGCTTTAGTGATTCTGAGCTATAAAATTTTATAGAGACTATCTATGGGTTTGATTTATTAAAACTGGAGAGTGCAAAATCTGGTGCAGCTGTGCATGGTAGCCAATCAGCTTCTAACTTCAGTTTGTTCAGTTAAGCTTTAACAAAAAAAACCCAGAAGTTGATTGGTTTCTGTGCAGATCTGCACCAGATTTTGCACTCTAGTTTTAGTAAATCAACCCCTAAGCTTTGCAGCCACATGTTACCTTGATTGAGTCACAGGGACATTGCTGTGAAGAGTCCATGTTTGTGCAGCTTTCATTATTCTGCAGTGTATACGTTTTTTTTTGTTTTTATTTATTTAATCCAGAACCTGTATTTGATCATTCGGCTGATTATCTATTCTGTTAAAGTGCTACGTAGACTGAACCTACTAAACAGAATGTTGAATTAAAAAGTCTAAAATGTTAAATTATTCACTATAAATAAAAAAAATATTCAATATTTGTTTTCTTTGGGGAAAAATGTTTTTTTGGGGGGATTTAAATGTTCGTATATAATAATGCAGCACAAAGAGCAAAGATGATGTAGTGGTTGAAGTAATCCATGGCAACCAATCAGATTTCTCTTATCTGTAGTCAGATTACTTTCTGATTGGCTGCTGTGGCTTTCTGCAATTTGGGCATCATCACTGCCTCATTTAATAAGCCAGTTTGAATCACTGCCATAGAGGGAGAATTACCCTGTTAGACTCCTCAAAGGAACATGCCGCTAGGTGGTAATTAGCATTACAGCACAGGCTTTAGTGCTTGTAATAATAATTAGAAGTCATATGTTAATGAGCCGGATTTTACCAGTGTGAAATCCACCCTTTATACAACATGCCAGTCACAAACAGCCTTTTGTAGCCACTGAGCTTGCCTTGAGGTAACTCCACAGCCTTTCAATCCCCCTTTTCTTTGATAGGAATTGTCTATTCTTATTGCAGATATAAAGATCAAATGTGTTCCAATTTACCACCTGTTGCTGCTAAAATGAGGTGCCCATTTATTTAATTGGTGCCTTAAATCAGTGTGCCATATATTTAACCTTGTTTTACCTTAGTGTAGATGAAGAACTTTGGTTGGGGACACATGAGAGACAGGAAGTGTGGAGATAAGTTTGTGACTTGCAAATATCCACCTATAGTTACAGAGGAGCCATACCCTCCTACATGACCCATTCCAGTAGGTACAGAATGTTCTGCTTCTAATTATTCATTTCTGATTGCACTTTCCTAAGTTTAGCCAATTAATTATTGTGAATAGTTTGCTTAAAGATAAACTCAAGGCATTCCCCAATTAATTGCTGTGTTAGTTTAAAAAAAAAGTCTAAATGCCCAAAACACTTAACTAAATCTATAGTCACAGGACATCTGGTCCTGAAGGAGGGTCCATCTTTGGGTGTCCACATAACTACCTGGGTGATGCAGAAACCTCCTATTGGCTGTCTAGCGACGGGGTCCTCTCAGCATACAGAAGATGGTTTGGGGGGGGGGCAACAGACTGCAGTGCTGGATCTAGTAGTGGTCACTCCCAGAGGCAGTGAGGGACATGAATGGCAGATTTAGGTGAGTATTAAAGAGGCATCAAAATGGTGAATAGCTTTTGATGAGGGTAATCAAAAAGGCAGGGAGAAGGGAGGGAGCAGAATGATTTGCCTACTGGATTATGTATTGATGGAGGGTCTGAGGACAACATGTATAAATACTGAAAAGAAGGAAGAAAGGTTTGTTGTCCCTAGCAACTGATCATATTTCAATTTTACAAGTGAATAAAAATGTTGTGCTGCTCAAAAACTCCAAACTGACTACAGTTCACACGGATAATGATAGAAAAAGTTCTTTAAAAATTCCAGCAAGAGTAGAGAATCTTCCTACTGGTGACTGAACCCAGAATCCCAGTGCTGCAAATCTTCAATACATGTGAATCACCACAGTGAACATAGAGATTCAGGTGGACTCTCACCTTCTTACATGGACCTGTATGTGAACACAGGTCAGATAGGCATCTCCACCATTAGTGGGGGTAACACATAACTTGCTCCTCTGTGGGCAATCTTCCCCTCATAAACCACGGCTGAATCTTCCAATTGCACCTGATATTAGTATAGCTGGCTCTGTGGGTAAAGTGTTCACAGAAAAAGCAGTTTAAAGCGGAAATTTATGTGGGTAAACGTTCCTCCCTCACATTTTTTCATTCATTCGTTGTCCAAAAACACCAGTTTGCTGCGTTGTGGCATTTTTCAGTGGTTTTCAGCATTAGAGCGTTGTTACAGCTAAAAAACTCCTCTAGAAGCCCACTAGTCCTGGGTTTTTTTTCCAGCCAAAAGATGTCCCAGACAAAAAACTTTAATTACAGTCTATGTGTGCATGGACACATAGGATAACATGCTGGGGGGTTTACTAGCTGTAGAAAAAAACATCAAAAGCCAAAAACAGCCGTTGTAAAAATGTCAAGTGTGCATGAGGACTAATTGTCAAAGCTTAATTGAACAAGCTGAAATTAGAAAGTGCTTGGTTACTATGCTCAGCTGCACCAGATTCTGTGTGTACCAGTTTTAGTAAATATCCACCAAGGTAACATTTCTCTGAGCTTGATAGCAGATGTAAACCAGACCCCAAAAATCTCATCATTATTGATTACACCAGTGGTCCCCAGACTGTGGCCTGTGGGCCAGATGCAGCTCTTTGATTGTCTTGGGGCACTATTCCTGCCACTGACACCAATAGGGGAATATTCCTTCCACTGACATCAACGTTGAGACCATATTCCTTCCATTGGCATCAACAATGAGCCATGGTTCTTCTTCCCATTAACCACATGTGCAACAAAGTTTTTTTTTTTCCATTGCTCACCAACCCTGGGTCATTTTCCCCTAATGCCTGAAAGACAGTTAACTGTCCCTTTTGTTTAGTGTAACAGATCAGCAGAAAAGCTGGTCTGCAACTCTTTGCTGCTCTATCACTATGTAATCTCTCTCACCTTGTGAGTACAGCCTGCTTTGATCTACAGGACTGGAATGTAAAACCTAACCTGATTCCACCCACTGATTAACATAGCAGTTACACAGTCAATCCCCGCCTAGCCTGTCAATCAACCTCACTGTCTGTGCTCAGGCCAACTCTGGTTTCCTGAACAATAGGTTGAAACCCAAGGCTCCAGACTGTTAGATTCTAGCTGCCCTGCACTCCTACTTCTCTCTTATGGACTTCAGCTTCTATATGACTACTCTTGTTCACTGCCCACCCTAACCGTTGGTTTATCTCTGTTTTTTAATCTGATTGTCAACTTTGTACTCCATGCTCTGGTTCAATCCCTGGTCAGCTGCCATATGCACCAATGTTCCCAAAGGCTGCAACCTGGTAACCCTCCTGCAAAGTTCATCACCCCTTTTCGCTTCTCGGTCTTTTGGCTAAGATCAAGTGTAGTATCTGTTCTTATCAGTGTCCAGTAGGGGTGCTCCGCCACCATTCTTGCTTCTTGGTGAGGATGGTTGGCTGTATACTACCCCTGCTGGAATGATGGGGGCTCTGAAGGCTAGTACTGGAACAGAAACCGTGGTGCCCCCGGGTAGTTGGGGCCCGGAAGTAATTTCCCCGGGAAAGCTGGAGGAGCCCAGTTCCTCCTGATTTGAACGGATCTACCTTGTCTGGCCAGGGGCCGGGAGGCAGAGAGTCTGCGGAACATTGCCACCTGAGTGGTCGCCTCAGGGGTGCTCTTAGTAACACATGGGGGTGGGATCCCAAGTGTGAAACGTGCACATGGTCACTAATCCAAAACACTTTTTCTGCACTGCGCTTTAGGGCTAGGCCTTTTGGCTAAATCCAGGGCAATTTTTATGCTACAGGCTTCAGGGCCTAGCCAGTACACAATTGCACGGCCACTTTTTTTATTTTTTCCTTTTTATTTATTTAATTTATTTTTTTCTCCCACGTTTGAGTCACTTTCACTTACATGTGTGTTTTTTTTCTCACGGATGGTAGGGTGTGGGTCCTCGGGCCTACCCTGAAATTTAGTGGGAGGATGTGTGGCCTTTTGGTTCCTTCCTCCCCTGTTCCTTGGGGGGTCTCTCTTCGGAAGAGCCCCCTGACCTAGTACTTGGTGGTTCGGCTAGCCACAAGGAATGGGGACCATCAGGCTAGGTGGAAACCTCAGTCCCTGTCAAGAGCCTCACGCCCCGGGAGATTAGGGTAGAGGTCCTACCCCTTCGAACAAAGCACACCCCTAAGTGCACTTTTTTGTGTTGGTGTTTTGCACTTACACGTTTTTGTGTTCACTTACGGTTTTTTTTTTTCGTTTTTTCGAACTTCCGTGGACTTTAAAAAATAAAAAAAAATGTTCCCAAAGGCTGCAACCTGGTACACCCTCCTGCAAGTTCATCACCCCTTTTGGGTTGCTGTGATGAACATCTGGTGGTGTGTACCTAGACTCTGCACCTCACACTTTTCAGAGCTCACACCTTCTCCAATATGCAAATAGCATAGAGGGTCCATTATTTATTTTTGTCTGTGACATATAGAGGGTTTGAGGACTATTGGATTATACCAACATATACACACAACCTTCATACAATATAACTTATCTTTGCATGTGAAAAAAGAGGGACTAAGCCAATAATTATTGAATCAGGATTAAAGCTGCCCCCATCAAAGTCAAAGGCATAGTAGCAGCTGCCACCCTGTGTGGGTAAGGTGCAGTGTGGTGCCCAGCAGTAAACACACTGGGGTCTGAGTGCAGAAAATGATCTACTGAAGAACTAGAAGAACAGTGCAACAGT